TTTAAAAAATTACTCATTTTACAATAACAAATTCGTCGATTTTTTATAGAGAAAATCGGTTTTTTGGCTTTTATGTGTTACGAAAAATCGAAAAATGAAAAAAAAAAAAATCCTCCCAGCGTTACCTCGACAAACATCTCCTTTGACTAATGCATCTTGGTTTTTTTGTTTTAGATGATTCTGTTGCGAGTTAGAGTGTACACCGTAAAATAACTTTTTTTGCAAGCGCCTGAGGAGATTTGCTCTTACTCGCTCAATTCGCAATATTTTGTAATGAAAATTTGGTGAAATACTGTTCAAATGTTATACTATTATATAAAAATTTAATAAATATATTAACTTTCTTTGTATCGCCAAAAAAAATTCTTAAAAGTATGCATTATTTTCACCGAATTAACTATACCCCCCCCCCTTAAGAGTTTTATATTTAAAAACGGAATTTTTTTATGAAATTGTGAGAAATTAAGGAAATTGTTAAAACCAATTGAAAGATAGTTAATTTTGAAATAGTGTGTTAAGCACATTAAAAAGGAAGATATAATTATATTTTTCTTTTAAATGCCAAAAGAATTATTAAAACAAGTGTAATATCTGTCTTTCTGGTATTAATACGTATAGAATAACGTAATAAATGTCTTTCAAAAAAATTTATGTATCCTAATTTGTTTATAAAAATTGTTTAAATATTTTGTTGCAATTAATTTGCAATGTAAGAAATAATTATTATATGTGTCTTCATTAAAAATTGAGTTATTGTTTTATTATTACCCGTTGTATACCTCAGCCTTCATAGTTTGATATGTAAATTTTTAAGGGGACTTTCTGGTTCAGAATTCCACAAAAATCGATTTTTTTGGTTGAAAATGTTCCTTAGTATTATAAAATTACTGTCCCATAACGTTTTTTTTAAAAAATATGTAAAAAAACAAAAGTTGTAGTCAACAATTGTTTGATAGTCCTGGCTCAATGTATTATTTTATGAAAACTTTAAACGCGTTTTTCTCGAAAACACATTTTTCAAATTGGAGCACGGCTTTTCTCGAAATCTACTGAACCGTTTTTAAAAAACCAAAAACCATTCAATTCCTCAGTTAAAAAACTAGAGATTAAACCTTTAAAATCTCATATTTCTACCCCCTGTTTTTTTATACGGGAGTAAATTGCCCCAAAAACAAGGCGTTTTTTCGAATTTTTGAAAAAATTGTTAATAAAAAATAAAAAAAAACCTTCTAAAAAATCGTTTTTTAGGTTTATTGTCTATAATAAACCCTTATGAAGAGATTTGCGTTTGAAATTTGAATTTATATGTGCATATCTCTAGAACTTTTAAACTTTATGTTATCGCTCATTATGATACCTTAAGAATTTTTTTAATAATTTTTCAATACCATAATTTGACCAATTATAGGGCTTTTTAAATGTATCATGCGTTATATAATTTTTTTAATTATGTAGGAAATGACGAACGTAAGTTAAAGTGGTGAAATCGACAGTTTCTAGTGTGTGATATTGACTGTTTTTTTTAGTTTATAGACTGTAACTTTTTTAACGAAACATTGTGTGTCTTGTGGCTTGCAATAGAAGTAGGTGGGAGTGTGAAGAACTAAAAAATCCATGAAACAATGATGTGCCTCAAATTGAATAAAAACTATGTAGCTTCAAACTTGCGAGACAACTTTTTCAAAATTTCTACAAGTTAGCAGTTAAACTAATATAACTTTTTTAACGAAGGTTTTTGAGTAACAGCACAACGGGATTATATTATCTACCTAATAAGAAGTAATTTGAACCCATACAGGAATGTGTGCCTCCTTTACACAAAGAATGCAATGACTTCAAACATTAAATTTTAAAACGTAACTCATATAAAAAAACCACATATTTGAAAGCACATGTTGAATTTTGCTTCTAAATGCTCCCAACTCATTGTAATCTCTTCTCATGCATTATAAAAGTCTACAGAAAAATCGTTAACCTTTGCACACTTCATTAAAACTTTATAATTAATAATGAATATAAACCTAAACTGTCCGACGCATAGTTTGTGAAGAAAAGTAAGTATTAACTAATAGATGTGTTTAAATCTGGCTGATATTTCTCACTCAAAGGTTTTTGGGGTCACTGCGACTACTAATCTGAATTTTAAATTTTCCAAAATTAAAAATGGCGAATCCAATATGGCGGACGACTTTTTAAAAAAGTGATCCCATTGGCCTCAAATTTCTTACTCGGGGGTTTTTTGGGTCGCTGATTATGAATCTGAACTTTGTTTTTCAAAATTCAAAATGGCGGATCCAATATGGCGGATGACTTTTAAAAAAATTGATCCAATTGGCCTGAAATTCGTTACTCGGGGGTTTTTTGCGTCGCTGACTACGAATCTGAACTTAGTTTTTTCAATATGGCGGATGACTTTTTACAAAATTGATCCCATTGGCCTAAAATTTGTTACTCGGGGGTTTATGGGGTCGCTGATTACGAATCTGAACTTAATTTTTCAAAATTCAAAATGGTGGATCCAAAATTGCAAACAAAATTTTTTAAAAAATTGAATAATTGAAAAATATCTTTCTGACATATTTGATACACCATTTTAAATATTAGTAATGAAACTTTAAATTTTATGTACATGGTTACAAAAACTAAGCTACGAAAACCCCCAAGTAACAAATTTCAGGCCAATTGGATCAATTTTTTTTAAAAAGTTGTCCGCCATATTGGATCCGCCATTTTGAATTTTGAAAAACTAAGATCAAATTCGTAATCAGCGACCCAAAAAACCCCCGAGTAACAAATTTCAGCCAAATTCGATCAATTTTTTTAAAAGTCGTCCGCCATATTGGATCCGCCATTTTGAATTTTGAAAAACTAACGTCGGATTTGTAATCAGCGACCAAAAAAATCCGCGAGTAACAAATTTCAGTTAGTTTTAAACACATCTAGAGATTTTGGGCATGTTTTTTGCAATAAGGCCCACTGTGTCGCGTAACAATGTGTAAAAATGAGTTACGCAAATTTTTTTATAGTATTTGATCAATACTGAAGACAATAAAATTTGTTTCACGAATGTGCCCTGAAAAAAAAATATATTTTTCTAATATCTCAAAGTTTAAAAGTTCTAGAGATATGCCCATATATTATTATATATTATTGGTCTATGTAATGTGAAACAATGTCCAAAAAGAATTTTTGCAATTTATTTAATACTCTTCTTACAACAAACGTGACTTTTTTGTCAATTTTAAACAAGAAAGTCCCCTTAACGAAATGAAAAAAAATTGAAATGTACATAACTTTTTTTAAAAAAATCATTAAACACTTTGCAAACATAGGTTTTGAAGCTTAAGAGTAGTACTATACGATACAATTTCGTAAAATGAAATAAAAATTTGGTTAGCCACAAAAAATTCCCGAAAATGGACATTTTTTTAGTCCCTTAAACTAATATTATAAAAAAATCCTGACGTGATGGGCCATTTTGGAGGTGAGATTCGGATTCTACGTGAAAAAACCTACATTAATCATCTTCCCCTTTTTTTGTTACAGAATGAAGCGAAATTTTGCAGGCTTGTGTTATTCCTTTTTTATATGAAAAAATTAAATTAAAAAAAACGCCTTACTAGCGATCTTCTTTTGAAGGTGGAAAGGTATGAGATAGAATGCCTTATTTATTGCTTTAATAATTATTAAAATAAATTATTGTTGAAATTATATTTTTTTTTAATATTACTGAAAAAAAGGTTTTTGGAAATATTTATTTTTGATAATTTTTACATATAAATAAACAATTTATTTGATCCAAATATTTTTTATTTGTTTTCGTAACATAAATAATTAGCATTTAATACTGCGTTATTTAAAATAAATAATTTAATTTAGTTGAATTAATAAAATAAATTTATTGTGTCAAATAATTTTTATTTGTATTATAAAACCAAATATTTGAGTGAATTAAATAAATGAATAGTTTCAAAAAACTCACTATTTGCGTTTCAAATAAATATTTATTTGATCGAAATATTTTTTAATTTTTTTTCATAATATAATCTATTAGTATTAAATAATGCATTATTCGTATTAAATAATTTAGTGTATTAGAATCAATAAATTAAATTTATTGTGTCAAATAATTTTTATTTGTATTAAAAAATCAAATACTTGTTTCAAATAAATAAATAAATAAATAGTTATGAATATTTTTTTTTTTAATAAATTCCTTTGTTAGATTCAGTTAATTACTTACTTGAACTAAGTACGATTTATTTGGTTGAAATATGTTTGAAATAATTTAAGTTATTTGAATCAAATACATATTTTTGGATCCAAATATAAAGTACCTATTTGAAACAAGAACTTATTTTTCAAATAACTTGAATTACTTGTTTCAAATAATTTTTTTTTTCAGTGTAACATTAAAAATATTTATAGAGCTGTAAAAAAATTCGTATAAAATGAAATTCACATGCTATGTATTTAAAAACATTTTTTGTAAATGGTACTGGAAAATTAAATGACATAATTTTTATGAGAACTTTGTACTTATTCAATTCATTCTTTAAATAATATTTCTTACTTCTGACTAACATCTACAGTCCACAACCGACTTATTGATTTCAAAGGGGATGATTTTCAAAATGACTACGTTGTCCTCGAGAAAAAAAATTTATTTATATTCTTAGAAATTTAACAATAAGTATAACTTTAATAACGCAAATATTATCAATAAAAAATAATGTTGCTAATAATGACAATATTAGTTGTGTAAATATTTTAATTTTTTCATAAAAAGTACAGCTCAAATGGAATTAAATTCTGGTTATTTTGTATAAAATAACAATTTTAAATAAATTACATTTTTTAAATATTTACAGATAAAATAATGAGCATCTAAGGAATTAAATAATTCACTAATCTAAGGTAAAAAAAGAAAACATTTCTGAAAAATGCTTATTGATTTTTTAATATTGAAAGTTGAGTAATATATTTTTTTATTTTGTTACCTTTATTTGAACAATAAAGAATCCAAGCGCTAAAACTAACTTAATTATCTCTTTCATTTTTCACGAAAAACTTATCATACACTTCTTCACTTAAAGAATGTCAATTTCTAGAAATTTCAGCTCCACATGCGAAAACTGTTTTTATATAAAGTAGTTTTAAATTTAGTCTGTTACCACTGCGAGCGACAATCAATCACTGATGAAAAAACATACGTCTGATCACGAAAAATTACCCCGGCGCGATCACGTTGCCTTACTGCTAGGTACTATTGGCAATGTTAGCACTATTTGTGCTGCTAGCACTGGGTGGGTCACTGCGTCAGAAAACTTTCAAAATGGCGCAAGCTACCATGACGAGTAAAGTAGCTAGAGGGTCTTGGAAACCAACAGCATGAGGGTGATTTCCTACGACAAGGGGGAAGCGTACAAATCTCTATCAACATGCGTAATAAAAACAGTCAATACAACAGCAAAGAAAATTGTTGTTTAAGTTATAAAACTGAACTTGTATATTATTTACAATCTTATAAATATATATGGGGCGAAATTCCTGAAGTGATCCAATTGCCAAAATGTGAGCATTGCATTTTTTCAAAAATCATAACTATTGTATAAAAGGATGAACAAAATTTTGACCTATATGATTTCGAAAGGTTTTTTCCTGCTCTTTCGAATGGTGCAAAATTTTTTTTAAAAAATTCAAAATTTCCTCCTCTTTTTCAAATTTAAAAACATTTTTGACATTTTAGGGTTCCGTACTCGGTTCAGAACCCTATTAATATCAGTTTTTTTTAAATCGTATACCCCCCCCCCCCCTAGCGGCCACACAAATTTATCTGGAGGGCTGAAATTTAGTAGACATATGTATTTTCGTGTGTAGATTACAAGAAAAATATAGCAAACTTGATTGGGATGGAAAAAACCATGAATTTTTAAGAAAAATGACTATGTACCCCCCCCCCTCTAGCAGCCACATCTTTTGACATAGAGACCTCAAATTTGGTACACTTATGTATTTTTACGTGAAAATTACAGAGAAAATATAGCGAACTTCATTCGGATCGATTTACATAGCGTCGTCAAAGAAAAATAAAAAATTTCGAAAAAAAACGGTTTTATCCCCCTAGCGCACACAATATTCAACCCAGACAGTTCATATTTAGTGTGTAAATGTATTTTTGCGTGAAAATTACAGGGAAAAAGATGTGAGCACTATTGTAGTTAATGATTAATTTTTATCAAATTTTTAAAGAAAAATGATAATTTTAGGGAAAGAAATGTATTTTTCGACCAAAAACTAAGAAAATTTTATCTAAAGTAATTTAATTTTATATATTTTTACGTGTAGATTACAATAAAATATAGCGAGGACGATTGGAGTTGATGGTCCTGGTGCTGTCAGGAAAGAACTGATAATAGGGGAGACCGAGGAGGAAAGTAACAAAAATCAGTTTTTTTATGCTAGCATTAAAAATATTTGTCGGATAAATTTGTCCAATATATTAAATGAAAGCTTGGACATTCACCTTTTAAATAAAATTTGAATTAAACATTTATAATAAATTGACAGTTCACAGTATAACTTTTACGCAAGCTCTTCATCTGTTACCTTCCTCCTCACCCCCGAGGAGGAAAGTAACAAGCTCCTAGGGGGAAAGTAACAGTATAAAATTATGTAAAATTCTTTAGACTAATGACTATTATTAATTAGAAATATTTTTATTAGGAACACATAAAAGTTTAAGTACACTTTATACTTATTTGGCACATATTTGGGACATATTTAGCACATATTTCGAACATTTTATGAATTTAGCTCATTTTTTTTCTTAAAGATATTTTATGCTTACCTAGATCACAGGTTTTTCTTAAATAAATCTCTGTTATTCGTAAAATTAAATACGATTTGCTTCAATCATTAATTAAAACATGGACAATATCGACAACAGGAGAAAAGTAGCGTGTTACTTTCCTCCTCGGTCGATTTTTTCTTGTATGTCAACAAAAAAGTTAAAACTACACAACTGTTAAATTGTTTGTTTAAGCACAACTTAAAGACAGATAATAAGGCTACAAAATAACGAAAGGCACATTTTGAAAAACAATAAAATTAAAGAAATACGAGAATTTGAAAATTTGAACGAAAACTTACTTTTGACGTTTTTTCTGCACGTCACACAGGAATCAGACCTAACCTTTCCTGTCAGGCTCGGACACACTATGGAGGAGGAAGGGGGAACAGTGCCGACTAAAAATATGTTTGAACCATGTCTATCCGATAATTTGTTTAAAAGTTATAAGCTTTGTTACTTTCCTCCTCGGTCTCCCCTAATAAAAAAAAATCCGGCAGCCCCCTGCGGGGGAGGCCACATTCTCATCACGCGCTTCGCGCGTAGGAGCTCGATAGTTTGAGTTTTCAATTAAATTTAAAAATTGTATTAATTATACTACCAGAAAGTAGTTGAATGACCCAAGAATCCATTTGGTAGAATGAGATTTTGTAGTTGTTTCAAACTTGTTCCTTAATTTTGCGCCGTGGATTGACCAGGTCTTTGTAATTAAGGAAAATCGACAAACCAAATTATTTACTAAAATAAGATATTCCGCTTCGAACTAATTTCAATTGAGTAAAAGAAAAAATTAATTGAAAATTTAAATACATTAAAAACAAGTTGTAAATTCAGATGTTCATTACATGAACATTTTGCTTCCTCTTTACGATCAGCAAAAAAATTTGCTTCCTCGTGGAGAAAGCAAAATTTTATTGCTAAAATGTGAATTTTTGATTTTTCAACTTTCATTAATTCTTTAAATTTACCTCAAATGTATACTTTATATATATCGATCGATTCGTCTTGACGTAAGGAATACGATTTTATTATATATAACCTTAAATTTTTCTAATTAAAACTTTTTCGATTAAAAAAAAAAATTTTGGAAAAAAGACGATAAAATTTTTTTTTTGGGTATTTTTCAAAATCCTTTGGTCAGATTTGAGATATTAATATGATAAATGAGCCTACCAAATTTTATCTAAATCCATTAAAACTTGTTAAAGTTATCTTCTAAACAAAAAAGGGATCCACACACTCATACACACATACATACATCCGGACAATTGATCAGGATCTCATATAACATGTTTCTATAAAGAAAAAAATTTGTTTCCGCCACTTTGAAAAGCTTTATAAACGAAAGGACTACAAAGCTTCCTCCACGAGGAAGCAAAAGAACTTTAAATGCATTTTTAAAGGAACAAATTTATTATATGAGGTTTTGCCCTCATGTTCTTATTCAAAAAAATTTTTTTGTACAATTTATATAAGTGAAATTTTCGGTTTTTATAAATTAAATTTCATTTTCTTAAAGTACTTTGACTTTAAGGATAACATTCTCATCACGGTACTCGCGTTTCACGCTCGAAAATTAGAAACATACAATAGGAAAATGCATTAACCCATTAACGAAATTTTTACAGGTACTTTGAGGCTCTATCAAATAGTGTACTAAAAGAACCGAAAATTTTTAAATAAACAATTTACAAGCATTAAAAAAAAGATTTTTTTAGAATTTTTGTTCAGTTTTTATAATTTTTTCAAATCTTATCCCTTCAGATTACATTTAAATGCTAAAAATATCGCGTCAAAAATGTTTCAATGCGAATTTTTGAAATTTTTAAAAACTCAAAATTTGAATAATTTTGTTGATTTTTGATGAAATCATTTGGCCAACGAACTCAGGCGAGATTTTGGTACACTTAAAGTGTATACCAAATTTGAAGTCGATTCATTAAAATTTGTTCGAGTTATCGTCGGACAAAATTTGTCTACAGACATACATACTGACATACATACAGACAAACATTTTTTTAAGACCCATTTTTCGGCATCAGAAAGTCTCAAAACGTCGAGATTCACTGAAATTAGAGAATGCTCAAAATCGCCCAAATGTAATACCTTCTCATTATGATGAGAATGTAAAAATCATGAATTTTGTCCCAAAAACGAAGAAAATTTTATCTAAAGGGCTTAAAATTTATTCATTTTCGCGCATTTTTGTGTGTAGATTATAGAAATAATTTAAAAAACATGATAAGAAGTTGTTTTAATTAAGTTTTTTTCGAAAAAGAAATTTTTTTTGAAAAAAGTGGATATTTCCCATAAGTTTTTTATTCGTTTCTCTGTTCTATTTATTTTTTTCTAATTTTTTTCTTTTCCTCCTATTCTTCCTTTTTTAATTCGATATTCTTTTCACATTTTTTTTAAAGAAAATGTTTATTTTAATTGAAAATAAAATAGGCCAAATCGAGGGTTCCGTACACGAAGCGAACTTATTTGGTATAAAAACATACGTTTAAAAAATAGAAGTTTTGTATGTCAAATAATGTAAGTAATACAAAAAGGAACAATTTTCTTAAGAGCATTTGAACCTTCGTGACGTCACAAATCATGGCGCATGACACGAAAACTTCTCAGGTATGTGAAAAGCACAATTTTGAATATTTTTTAAAAAAACCTTTTGGAAAATGTTCAGAATAACATAGACTCTGTCTGTTATGTGCGGAAAATTCAAAATTTTGCGTTTAAAACGTTTTTTATACAATGTTAAGGTCACAAATCATGGCGCATGACACGCAAACTTCTCAGGTATGTGAAAAACACAATTTTGAATATTTTTTAAAAAAACCTTTTGGAAAATATTCAGAATAACACAGACTCTGTCTGTTATGTGCGAAAAATTCAAAATTTTGCGTTTAAAACGTTTTTTAAACAATGCCTACATATAAGCAATTCGTGTATTTTTCCTTACTTGTGACAACCAACTTAAACATTGTATAAAAAACTTTTTATACGCAAAATTTTGAATTTTTCGCACATAACAGACATAGTCTATGTTTCTCTGAACATTTTCCAAAAGGTTTTTTTAAAAAATATTCAAAATTGTGTTTTTCACATACCTGAGAAGTTTGCGTGTCATATGCGCCATGATTTGTGACCTTAACATTGTTTAAAAAACGTTTTAAACGCAAAATTTTGAATTTTCCGCACATAACAGACAGAGTCTATGTTATTCTGAACATTTTCCAAAAGGTTTTTTTAAAAAATATTCAAAATTGTGCTTTTCACATACCTGAGAAGTTTTCGTGTCATGCGCCATGATTTGTGACGTCACGAAGGTTCAAATGCTCTTAAGATTTTTTAAAGAATTGTTCGTTTTTGAATCACTTACACCCATGTGCGAAATGCCAAGATTGCCAATACGGCCCAATAATAGTACAGTAATGTCTGCCGAAGTATGCAATGGACCAATATTGGCTAACAACTCGTCCAATAGTGTGCCAGTATTGG